AGATGGTGTGACACCAAAGGATTATCCATTAATCCTACTAAATCTATTCTGGTTCCGTTTACCCGGAGGAAAAAGTTATCCATGACAGAATTGACTCTGGGCGGCACTAGAATAGGGCTCTCAAATGAAGCAAAATACCTGGGGGTGTGGCTAGATAAGACACTCACCTGGAATGTACATTTGGATGCAACCGTAAACAAGGCAATGAGAGCCTTCTTCGCATGCAAGCGACTTTACGGGAAGACATGGGGACTCTCCCCCAAAATGACTTACTGGTCATTCAACACAGTTGTGAAGCCGATAGTCACCTATGCATCCTTGGCATGGTGGACAAAAGCGACACAAAGAACTGCTAGCGCAAAACTAAGCAAACTACACCGAATGGTGTGCATTGGTATAACAGGGGCTATGCGGACCTGTCCTGCTGATGCACTTAGTGCTCTTGTAGGCATACCGCCCTTCCCAATTCTAATAGAGAGGGAGGCCAGTCTCTCGGCACTGAGAATCCTAAACACTTCCGAGTTAAAAACCGGAAACATGACAGGTCATATGAAGGTCCTTATGAAATTCACAAATGACCCCATAATGCATATGAGGGACTCAGTAGCTCCGATACTAGTAATTTCTAGGAATTTCAAGGTATCTATTGCGGACCGAGCATCCTGGAGCACAGGAAACCCCTACACCAAACCCGGAGCTGAAGTTTGGTACACTGACGGATCAAAACTTGAAGATGGAAAAACTGGAGCTGGTATATTTGGGCCGAATTTTAAAAGATCGATACCAATGGGCAGCTACCCCACCATTTTTCAAGCAGAGATTCATGCGATCGATATCTGTGGCAGAGAATGCCTCAGAAGAGGCACATCCTCTAAAAACATCTGCATTATGTCGGACAGTCAGGCTGCCTTGCTAGCACTGAGGTCCCACATAATAACATCCAAACTAGTGTACGACTGCCTCAACACCCTAAACGGTCTTGGAAGCAAGAACACAGTATTACTGGGCTGGGTGCCGGGGCACGAGGGCCATGACGGCAATGAACAGGCGGACCGCCTAGCAAAACACGGAGCTACCACACTATTCTATGGCCCGGAACCCTTCTGCGGGCTCACCAAAGCCCACTTAAGGGAGGTCATAAACAAGTGGGTCGACAAAAAATTCGAAAGGCACTGGAATGAATGTCCGGGGCAAAGACAAGCTAAGCGGTTCATCTGTCCATCACAAGAAGCTTCAAAAAAGCTCATAAATTTAGGCAGGGAGGACCTTCGAACTCTCACTGGGTACTACACGGGACATTGTTCCCTGCGTTATCACCTCAGTAAAATGAATCTTTCAGACACGAGCGTCTGTCGCTTCTGTGAGATGGACGAAGAAACGCCAGAACACATCCTTTGTGAATGTGTTGCTCTCGCTAGACGCAGACTCGCTCACCTAGGTGGTACAACACTTAATCCATTCGAAATATGGAACAAAAAGCCCACCGAAGTGCTAGCTTATATTAAAAGCCTTCATATATAGGGTAAAAGGCCACGCACAATAGACCACCTTAGAGGTCGCAGTGCTCAAGGCTCATAATAATAATAATAGGAGTTAATATAATGCAGTATATACACTTATACTAGATATTATTGCTACAATTCGGCCGTCCTGACCATGAGATCACCTGATCTCAAGTGCTTTTACTTTTTGCCTTGCGTCCCTTGAACCAAGGCTTCATATTTGCAACTCTTTAAGTAAATAGCGATCATTAGGCAAAACCTTTTCAACACGATATGGGCCTTTAAACTTCGGGATCAGTTTTTTAGGTCCACTGACATGGGAATCAAAGTTTTTAATAACTACATAATCACCCACTACATATTTATTTGGCTTTTTTCTCTTTTTATCTACATAACTTTTATTATAATTGTGTAACTGTTGTTGACAATGAGCCGCTTTTCTACGAATATCTTGTAAGCTCCCATTTTCTACCGAATCTTTTACTCTTGTTAATTGTTCTTTCAGCGAGTCAGTAACCTCGCCTCTTTGGCCAACGCCAAACAACAGCGCACTAGGATGTTCGCCTATCGTTCTGTGAACTGTGTTGTTTAAAGCATGTTCCACTTTCCCAAGTACTGCATCCCAGTGAACTCCTTTTTCAGTATCTATAATTTTTGAAATCATTGGTCCAAGGTTACTGTTCACCCTCTCGACTTGACCATTTGCTTGAGGGGAACCTGTCGCTATTTTTATATGCTGAATATTCCTATCTTCTAGAAAACTTTTAAATTCCTCGGAGGTGAAACAACTTCCCCTATCAGACACGATACGCTTTGGATGACTGTAAGCTCTGAAGTAGTCCTTCAGGGCTTGAACAACTTCTTTAGTGCTTGTCGTCTTAGTCGGATATAATCTCACGAGTTTCGTAAACGCATCAATCACAACTAAAATGAGTCTCTTCGTTTTCAACGAATTATCAACAGGGCCAAAATGATCGATATGTATAATTTCAAACGGAGCATTTCCTTTTGGGATATTGTGTAAAAACCCTTCCTGTGGTCCACTTTTGGAAGAAAAAACAATGCATATCAAACAATTTTTTATGTTTGTCAACCTTTTCTCACATTTTAGGGAACCAGTAACTTTTTGATATCAGTTGTACTACCTTATCTATACCTATATGTCCAACTTCATCGTGATATTTATATATTACTTGGTTTTCCATATCCTGCGGAACGAACACAAAAGATTACCGTCGTTTCCCTTTTTATACAAAACACCATTTCTCATTTCATGCAAATTGTGTTCTTTTTCCTGTAGTAACTTCCGAAGTTTTTTTCAAATTATCATCTCTTCCCTGACAAATAACTAAATTTTCCTCGAAAGTATTTGCTTCCAATACCATTATATTCGTGCAACGACTTAATGCATCCACATGCTGCATGTGTTTACCATTAATGCCCGTATTGCGCTTTCGCTTAAATTGTATACATCACCAATGCCTTTTAGCTGTCGGAAATTTGCATTTCCATCGTACTCCGGTAACATATCCTTCACGACATCAAATGGTTTTACCCCTACGCCACATTTGCTTTCAACACAAACGCAATTTTTTGCAATGTCAAAGCTGTTGCTTGCCGGGTTAGTATTCACTGCGTTGGAGACGTTCGCTGCACTGCCACTGTTTGCTTCAAAACTACCGCCACTTGCTATATTGCCGTCCATTGCGTTATCGACGACATTTGCTGCTCTGCCATCGCTTTGGTTACTGCCGCTGCTGTCCTCTGCTTCGTTGCTGATTTCTGGTTGTTAGACACCATGCCACCATCGGGTGCATTGTCCAATACCACTTGAGCCAGTTTATTCCTCAACCACTCATTTTCCTTTACAAGCAAATCATTATTTTTCTTCAGCGCTTCTGTAACCATGATTGCTTCACTCGTTTCGTACTGTTGTTCACATACAAGCGGTCCTTGTAAATCGTCTGTTGCTGGACGATCAACGCCAACATCATCTTCGTTGATTTCACTTATGCTTGGGCACTCCATACGTTCATTTACGGGTATTCCACTTATTCTGACCGCCATTGCTGCTTTAGTGCCATATGTTGGTAATCCTAAGCGCCGCGACCATTCGCGGAGCTGCGCTGTTGTGCACTTGCCAGTATCAATTTGCTCCATTTCGATGACGAGAATAAAAAAAATATCGTATTTGTATTTTTTAAACACAATTGCGCAAACTTTTATTAGATTTTACTTTATTAAAACTGTACACTTTTCCGCCGAGTTTTTGCAGGCCTTCCCGCTTCTGAAGATTGTAATACGCTCTCTTCAATTGCTCTATCGAAAGTGACGCTTTATTTCAATGTATCTCGTAACGGAATCAATACAAGATATCCTCTTAAAACTAAAAACAGAGTTGTATCTTAAAGTAGTTTTACAGAGGTTCATGTTTAAGTAGTAAACTTAGGAGTTAATATAATGCAGTATATACACTTATACTAGATATTATTGCTACACAATTGAATACTTTTGGATAGGAAAGTCATTTTTAACATATTCATAAATTTGCAATAAATATTTCAAAAGCCCATAGCTTCTTTTGTTGATTCACTAACATATGCTTGTAATCATCTGATTTTTTTATACGCAAATGTTATTAAGTGAGTGCACATTTTTTCAGATCTCTATTTGGCTACCTATATCGATCATTGACTTTTTCTGCTCCTATGCCTTCCTACACTTCAATAACTCTGAAGACTTTAGATCTATGCTCTCTTTGGCTTTTATTCCAGTGTTATTCGTGGCCCTTTGATTGCCCTACTCACTAGAACGTATAAATTTAATATTCCCCAGCGCAACTTACGCATATCATTGCCTTCTGAAGAGGGAGGGTGGAAGACTGAGTATGCACGTAATGCTCTAATTGCACGTGCAATTACTGAATTAAATAAGATCTCGAATTCTATTTTAGTTGATTTTTCTTTGTATAGAAATGTTTATATTAATTATTTGTATGAAATGTTCTTTGGTATATCTGCGTATGAATGTACATATGTAGGCATGTATGCATCGGCGTAGCCAGAATGAAATTTATTAAGCTGGCATTTCAGGGTACTATTTTATATATATATAAGGAAAATTTGAAAGTTAGGGGGGGCTCGAGCACCCTCCTGCCCCTACTTGGCTACGCCCATGCATTTATGTACTATGTGTACGAATGTTTTTATTCTGGCTCTTGAAAATCGCGGGCTAGGGGCTACATCCGTCAAATTATTTTAAAATATATCTTAAGTAGATCTCTTCCTATATTTTGTGCGACAGATAAGGTTCTTTTATGTCAAACTCATATATTTTCATGATATCGATGCCGTGTCCAAAAATTCCACGTCGCTATCGACAAAGCGTTTAGATGATGAAGATACAAAATTGGCAGATGTGGCCCGTCGCTTTCAATGTGTTTCAAGAATAGGGCTTCGAAAGGCTTGTCTAATATTTTGAAGCAATAAAACACACTGCTTACAAATATAACAATTTGCACACAACTTGAATTTATTGTTTTGATAACTTATCGAAAACATAACGTTTAAACTTAAGGCGTTACATTAATCACCGGTATTAGTACAGTAATTCACCGCGTAATGGATGGATAGATGAGCGGACACTATCGCTGACCTATTACTGAAAAAATAAATTAATCAATGATGTGTAGATGGAAATAATAATTTGTAGTAGGACGGTGCGATTAATTGATTATTCAAAATTTTTATTAATCCAAAAGTAAACAACTCAATTATTCCATTTATTGGAAATTATAATTACTCAAAAGTTAAGTTACTCGAGTAATCAAGATTTTGATTAGCCAAAAACTAAAATGTTTGAGTAATTTGCTTTTTTTTATTAATAAACAGTATGAGTAAAAAGAGTAATAAAATGTTCAAAGTACTCTCTTCATATATATAAAGAAGTAGAAATCCCTTGATATTTGGAATACAACGTTTCTTTTTTCCAAATTTAAAATTAAATATTTTTTTGATATACACATTTTAAAAAAGAAGCTGAGCATTTTCCAAAGCAAACGCTTTTAGCAAGCAAAATTGTTTTTTAGAGTAATCATATTTTAAGTAACTCGATTAGTCATCGTTTTATGTAATCAATATCTTGATTACTCGAGTATTTGATGAAACCGAACAACTGATTGACCAGCTTGCTCGAATAATCAGATAATCACACAGCCATAATTTGTAGTATTATAGAACACATTTAACGCAGGACTGACTTTAATTAAATTATTCTTAAATTCACAGGAGATTTTTAGGAAACCGCTAGGTGTGCAAAATAAAGTTTCACAGGCAGCTGATGCCCGCCCTAGATAGTTATTCGGAACAGTTGCAAAAGCAAGGCAGCTGGGAAGGAAATAACTCCACCTCTTCATCAATAAACAGATACGGTAATGGAGCCCGAAACGATAAAAAGTCGTACCGTATGAGTTCCTATTGAACACTACCGGTCAGGATTTCTGTCAGAATCGAGAGTTGGTGGTTAGACAGCTGAATAAACTTTTGGGGTTTATGCCTAGTGCTTTCTGAGTCGACAATAGCCGCTTACAGGTTATGAAATGAACTAGTAAATTCTACAAATCTCTTCCAACTGTACCTTCAAACTTGAACTCATTCGTCGTGAATTGTTTACTGGACTTCTGCTTTAGAGGTCTCTGCTCTCCCAAGAGGGATGTGGATAGAGAAAAATCTAATAGGTGCCAACCGTTGATCGTCGAGTGCCCTGGTGTTCTTGGTCTAATGATTGAGTATTGAGTGGTTTGCAGCAGCCTTAACTGCAGTAACCTGACAACTATAAAGCCCTTATCCTTGCGCATAGACTGATGAAGTCCGGAAACCTTAAACGTTTGGTTACAGTATTTAAAATCTTATGCATCTGCCGATTAACGAAGCTGAGTGACAAGCAAAGTCAACGATTACCAAGGTTCTGCTGGTGAACAGAGAACTGATTAAAACTCATGATTTTGCAAACCCAGTACCATGACATAATTAGAAATTTAATATACTATGTAGTACATACCTTCGTTGTAAGTGAGGAGTTAAATCTGCAGCCACTTAGTTAATGAGATAAACCTTCGGGGAAGAAAAATCCAGACTAATGCCAGTTTTGAGTACCGCTCTATTAAACTCACTACAGATTTTCATACGAGCCTCTCGGTCTTTTGGACGTAAGATGGGTAAATGCCTGATTATCAGGCATGTTCTGCAAATCGTTCGATTTCAAATCGGTCCGATCCACAAAATCTATTTCGGAGGATTTATAACAATGAGGGAAAATTTGGCACTAAATCGATGGATATAAAATAAATCATGTGTTTCTAGCAGTTTCCATTTGAAATATTTAATACTTTGATTACAAATATACAACAATACTTTGCAAATCGTACGATTTGCAGAACATTTTTGTACAGCAACTTAACTTAACCGAACTTAGAAAATCAAAATGAAAGAGATTTCGACGTGACATTAAGTTACGTTAAGTTTTGGCTGTTCATTTATAAGCAACATCAATTTAAGAGAATTTTTAAGTGAGAGCCTGCAAGTTGCGTTAAGTTGCCATAATCAGTCCTCGGTGGTGTGAATTTGCCGATTGAACTTATGTAGGACCTGCTCCCTTTTATCACTACTTTTTCGTTATCAGTCCCCGGTAATTGTGTTCACATAGAAACCTTTGTGCATTTACTTACCACGAATCGGTTGACTTTATATCGAGGTCTTGTTTGTGCATTTTCTGTTGAACTTTTCATATTTTCGAAACGCTCTCGTATGCTAATGGATTAGTATTGCATTAGTAGGTGATTCAAGATTTATTGGAAATGAAAATCTTACGTTTTTGTGCTTTCAATGTTCGAATTATCAGAAACTTCAGTAGAATAGATGTCGACGCGACCTTCGTGTAATTCTCGCTCCCTTTCATTGGCTTCCCATTTCTCGAACCTCGCTCTCAATTGCTTTGCCCGCGCTGCAGCCTGTGCCTTAGCGTAAAAAAAATTTGTTTTTAAAGTATATAAAACATAATAAATGATGTACCTCTTTAAGAGCCTCATCATCCAGTGAACGTTTGTAACGCTCACTTGATGAGTTGTAGTCCTCATCGTCATCTTCGTCATCTTCGTCTTCAAATTCTTCATTGTCATCTTGCGAGCCCATGTCACTGTCTGCATCCTGATAAATGCGATTTCCACCGTCTGGAGGAGGTGTGAAACATTTCAAAGGTCGCGGACCATCTTGTTTGCCATTGCGATTCTGTTCCATTTCACGAAACTTATTTAACATCGTGGTGGTTGTATGAGACTTCTCCAGAACATTTGTCTCTGCGCCTAGTTCATTGGGATACTCCATGTTTTCAGCGTCCGATTCAGGAGTTGGCATTTTCACAACACCTTCTCGTGGTGGTGTAATACGAAACTCTTTCTTTTTCTGCTCAGTTGGACAATAGGTTTCAAAAAATTTGAACTTCGAACTTATTTCTGAAGTCTCGATTTTTATATCCTCAGGCTTTTCATCATACTTGACGACATCCTGCTTTCAATTAAATGTCGTTTAATGCTTCATAAGCATTGCATGCCTATTTAGGCACATACATATATATATGAGGCCATGAGAGCAGAAGTGGCCTAACCCACAATTTTTTTTCTTGTACTTATCTTAAAATTCATGTTTAAATGTTAATTTTATGTTACGTTATGTATCTCTGTACCTTAAAATTAAAGAATAAGCAACTTTCATTTTAAAATTAGGTAAATTTGAGACTATTTTAAGTAGGGAAGCACACATCAAACATTTTGGGTTAGGGCATTTCTGCTCTCATGGCGTCATATATACAGTAGACTGAGTCGGTCGCTATACGAATAAAAAAGTAGTAAAAGTAGACGGCTGCTGTGGTTGAGTGGCTGGAAGTGCATACTACTATTCCGAAAGATTTGGGTTCGATGCCTGGTCCGAAAAACATCTAAATTAAAAAAAGTTTTATCTAACAGCTGTCGCCCTTCGGCAGACAATGGCCGACCTCCGATTGTATCTACATGGAAACTTTACACAAATGCTACAGCGAGTGAGCTCCCCTATTATTATTATTGAAAGTCCCTGTATTTAAAGCTTATGGTGAGAGGATTTCGGATTGATCTTTCTAAAAACCGCCGCATAATTTGAAGTATTGAACGTAAATTATATCAATTAATAAAATTTGTTGTTTCGACCTCGCCAACATGCTCGCTGTCGTTTGCCGCAGAAGGTGAGCGGCTCATATGCACGATTGAGAGAAATAGAGATTGCGCCCATCGCGGTACCGCCAATCCGGTCTTTGTGAATTTGACAGAATCAGCTGAGTGCGTGATGTCATCTTGGTGCAATTGTTGATTGAAGAAAACCAAATAACGATTTAACTGGGTACGGCCTAGTTATTTGCCCAATGATTTCGGGCTATTGTGTCCGAAAAATTTTACAGAAGCTTGTAGCCAAGGGTCTACACGTTATTGTGAAACCTAATTTTGTAATTTGCGTTCACTGATTTAGTTATAAATTTGGTCTGAAAAATGCACTTTTTGTGAATTTCGGAGTGAGTTCTACGCAAATATACTGTGGATAGTGTAGTCGGTGTTATATGCACAAGAAATGTTGAATAACTTTGATAATAGAAAGGTGTTCTGCACAAAAATACTGTTAATCGAGTTTACATTTCCGGTGTAAAAATGCAAATTTTAGACAATTTTCCAATGGTTCCCCAGAGGTATGTGGAATGTTTCGAGGGATCAGGTGTCACTTAGCCATAAACTTTGGGCAAATAACTAAACATTTCCAATTTAACATTTTGTACATCAATGTTTCTGCGTAGCTTTACACAATTATTGAAACATTACCAAGGCAAAATGAAGTCTGCAGAGGCAAACTGTAAAAGAGAAAATAAAAAGGTAAGCATGCGATATAAGTAATTTTTTTATGTACATTAGACTGGGTCGAAAAAAAAAGTTGCTAATGTCCGCCCCTAAATTTAAAGATTATGTTGAGAGGGTTCTGGAAAAATTTTTTTTTTTTTTTTTTTCCTTTTAAGCTATGAAGTCGTTTACCCATGGTTAGGTCAGCTAACAAAATTCGCCCCCACAAATTCCTCCAACAGTTTTCTTAGTTGGAAATTTAATCTCACTGCTTTCGTACCAATTT